GGCAGTCCCCGAGGGCCCGGAGCACTTGCCTGGGGGGCAGAAGCAGCCGTCCACGCAGTGGTCCTCGCAGAGCTGGGAGCGCTCGGGGTTGGAGCAGGTGTCCGCGCAGGGCGAGCCGCACTCCTGGTGCTGCGTGTTTAGGGGGCAGGTCCGGGCTGCAGGGAGGGGACAGAGCTTGGCCTCCAGGAAACCCTGGGGGCCAGATGGGCAGACGGGCCACCTCCACCCCCACTCTCCATGTGCCACCAAGGGTACCCCAAAGCCACAGCTGTGCCTGGGAACCCCCGTCTCAGGAGCCTTGGCCCTGCTTGTCCCAGCCCCCAGCCGTCTCCTGGGTTCTGCTGAGCTGAGCTCACTGTGTCTGGGCCAAGTCTTCACTCCGGGTCCCCCGGCCCCCCTGGGCCTGAAATATTCCCCTCTGCTCTCCTGCCCATCCTCTCTCTGTGGGCCCCCAAGTGGATCCACCTGCCCTATGTCCCCAGATGCCAGGTGGCCCCCCGGGAGTCTCCTCCATCACCCCCTCCCCAGAGACTCCGCATGGGGGAGGCCCTGGTGACGGGCACTCACGGCAGAAGTCGGGGCGCCTCCAGTTCTGCGGCTGGCCCCCCGCGTGGGCACACTGGCGGGAGTACTCGGCGAAGGTGGCGCAAGGGCAGGTGGGGCAGCGACACAGGTCCTGGGTGCAGGCGGCCACGTACGGGTCGGCGTCCACCAGCCAGTTGCACTGAGTGAAGGCGGGGCCCAGCAGGGTGCCGTGGCAGATGCCCTCCTGGGGAGCACAGAGGCGGGGCGCACTCTGCATGGGCTTGTGTGGGGACCCCGGCCCCGCAGCCTTACCCCGGCCAGGGATTCCCCTCTTCCTGGTGGTTCCTTCCATCCAGCCATCTGTCTGTCCGTCTCCCCATCCCCCAGCCATCCGCTCAACCCCTGAACCTGCCCCCACTGGGGCGGAGCTCTGCTGGGCGCTGGGAGTGATACACACCCTGTGCACCCCAACCCCGGGGCTCCGGGACACTCAGTGCACCCGGGAAAGGAGCAGACCCTGCCCCCGGCGGCCACTCAAATGAGGGGGAGGGTGGTGCCGTCCACCCGCAAGCCGCCCCCTGAGGAATTTCCTCCTTTCCCAGCCACACCCTGACCAGCGAGTGGGGGATGGCCCGGGACTCCGAGTCCTGATTTAAGGCTTGGGGTTTCTGCTGGTTTTGGGGGTCCCGGAGCTTCCAGGCCACTTCCAAAGGCGGGGCCCTCCCAGCTCATCGGAAGGGCTCCCTGAGTGCCCCGCTCTTGGCGGGACTGTGGGGGGGGGGTGCGTGTACACACACAGATGAGCTCACACACTGACACGGGGCCACACGCACACTTAGATGTCTGCAGTGCGGGGAAGCGTGTGGGTGCAGAGGGTGCACCTCAAAAGCGGAGGCCAAGTCTTCAGCTGCCCCGGGTCTAGGAGACCCTCTCTCATCGGGACACCCAAAGTCCCAGCCCCAGGAAACCTGAGCCCACCCTCTGGCTGTCCGCGCGCCCGGGGAGCAGGGGCTCACCCTGTCCGTGCAGTTGTCAGCTGGGGAGGGCTGGGGATCCTGGCACTGCTCCGTGGGCCCGTCCAGTTTCTGCAGGTTCCCGAACTGTAGAGGGGTCAGCCTGGCATCTGGGGAGAAGGGGTGCTCCGTGTGGGTAACAAGGGAGGGCTCCGGGGGCCGGGCAAGGAGGCTGTCCATGCCCCGGACCCCCAACGATCTACTTCCTGTCCAGGAGAGCCTCCCAGCCCCCCAGACTGTCCAGCCCTCCCTGGGCCACCTGCGTGCCCTCACCCGGGGCAGCACTCACTGTGGGCATAGAACTCGTTGACGGCCGGGAGCCCATTGAAGTCCCCACAGAGGCCGCACGTCTGGTTGGCGTACTTGGGGTCCAGCTCCAGCTGGGGACAGGGGAGAAGCAGTTCCAGCCTCTGTAGGCCTGGCAGGGCCCCCTACTCACCCCAGCCCACTCTCGGGGACTCCCACAGCCTGGGTGGGGGGGATGTGGGCTGGCGTCTCACCAGGGCGCTGTCCTCTCCGTTCCACATGAAGGTCAGCATCAGCCGGACGTTGACCTTGATGTAGTCACTGCTCTGCTCGACCAGGAGGCCAGCCTGGCTGTAGGGCAGCTCCTCCCTGGGGCGGAAAGTTCTGGTTGTCCCAGGGCCCTGGGTTTGGGGCAAGGACCAGGGCCCTCCCTGTCCTCCGACCCCTGAGCCCACCAGAGCCGGACCCCTCCCGCCCACGCGGGGCTCACCGCCGCCCGTTGATGAGGACGGAGCTGTTGGAGACCTCCAGCACCAGCCCCTGGGCCTTGAGGACCACGTGGGTGATGGTGGGCCTGGAGCCCGCCAGGCCACGGCGCAGCTGGACGTTGAAGTCCTCGTAGGCGGCCCCGCAGTGCGCGGAGAAGACGTAGTTGCAGCGGCCGGGGAAGCGGAAGATGTCGCCGTCGAAGGTCTTGTAGTGGAAGTCGCCCCACGTGCTGCAGACCCGCCCGTTGTGCGCGGGGTTCAGGGCTGTGGGGAGAGTGTGGGGAGCCCCTGCTGGATGCCGCCACCTGCTCCCGGCACCCACAGGAGGAGGCACACGACTCGGGGGAGTGGGGGGCCAAGAGGGGGGCCACCCTCCGGCCGCTGCACCAGCCTCGCTCCCCTCAGCACCTCTGATTGTCCCGACCCCGGACCCCTGCCCAGCACCACGGGGCAGCCCCAGGAGGGTTGTTCACAGGGAAGGCTCCCAGCTGTGCCCAAGGCTGTGCAGCTGCCCAGCTGCCCCTGACTGTCCCAGCTTTGCCCCAGATCTGTGACCCCCCCAGGGCTGGCAAACACCCCAGCGCCCATCAGCAGTGGGCGGCATCCACTTACCGCTCATGGTGGGTAAAGCGGTGATGGACTGGATGAAGATCGTTTGCTGGGCTGCAGAGCGAGGGCCAGTCATACAGGGAATGTAGCCAGGTGGTCATACCGCTTCCTGAGATCCCCCCCCACCCTCCTCACTGCCACCCTCGGGTAGTAGGAGCCTCAGGCCAACTCTGACCCACCCCAGGGAGCCCAGGACTAATGGCTGTACCCTGCTGCCCAAGACATGCTCTTGCTCTGGACATTTTTGTGTGAGTTTTGCCCTGAGTGTGTGTGTGTGTGTGTGTGTGTGCACCTGTGTGTGAGTGCACATGTGTGAGTGCATGTGAATGTGTGCACCTGTGTGCGAGTGCACATGTGTGAGTGTATGTGAATGTGTGCACCTGTGTGAGCATGTGTGTGTGAGCATGTGTGTGTGCACCTGTGTGTGAGTACACGTGTGAATGTGTGCATGTGAGTGTGTGCACCTGTGTGTGCATGTGCACCTGTGTGAGCATGTGTGTGTGTGCGCGTGTGTGTGTGCACCTGTGTTTGAGTGCACACACACCGGTGCGTGAGCATGTGCATGTGCATGTGAGCGTGTGCACACTGTGTGTGCATGTGAGTGCGTGTGCCCCTGTGTGGAAGTGCGTGTGACCATGTGAGAGCCTGTTTTGCACCTTTGTGCTCTTGCTTCTAGCTTAGCCCCTCCACTGCCTCCTCCCCTGGGCAGACGGGGCCCGGGAAGGGTCTGTGTATCAGGCAGGGGCTGTGGAAAGGGATCTGTCCCCACCCGACCCAGCCCCTCCACCTGCCCAGCCGCTCACCAGTGTCCATCCTCCGACTGCCCTTGGCAGCCCCTATGTCCACCCAGCTCGACTCCATGCCCTGGGTCTCTGTGGGAACAGGGGACGGAGTTTGAGAGCAGCCGGACATGTCACCACCACCCCTTGGCGGCCTGTTTGGGGCCCCAGTGGCAGGTGTCTGAGGGCTGCAGGGTGGTGGCCACATGAGCGGGCTCTGGCCTCCCGGTCACTTGGGGACAGAAAGTGAGGCCTCCACCAGGGTGGAAGGTTCTGGCAGGGGCTGTCTCTCTTTGGTGGCCTGACCCCCACCCTCCCCAGCTATGAATTCAGGCGTCGCCTCATCCTTCATCCAGCTGTGACAGGGCAGGAAAATGGAATCAGGAAAAGGCGTTGGCCCCTTTGACCCCGGCCACCTCAGGGAGAGGGTTCGGCCCCATCCCACGTCCCTCAGACAAGCACAAAGACAGGCTTTGTTGGGGAGAACACAGTAGTTGGGGAGGCTCCCGGGCGGGACTTAGCAGAAACCCAAGACCAGAGTGCCGGTGCCGGAGCCACCAGGCGTGGCAGGTGGGAGCCCTGAGCCCTGGTGCTGGGCGGCCGAGGCCGCCTGTGCCCGCTGCCTCCAGGCAGGGTGCCCCTGCCAGCCTGACCAGGGCCGAGCTCCACAGCCTCTCGCTGCCTTGGTGGACAGGACCGAGACCCCAGGCCCCTCCTGCGGGGCTCGGGCGGGGGCACCCTGCACGTGGCCCAGAATTCCTTCCTCGTGTCTGCCAGGAGTCCCACCCTGGGCCCCAGAATGTGCTTTGTGGGGACTGCGGGGTGGGGCCTCCACGTCCCTGGTGGGGCCTGAGCTCGGCCAGGGGCACTGCGGCAGCTGTCACACCCTGGCTGCTTCCTGTTGGACCTTCTCGGCCAGATCACCGACCCTCGGGAACCCAGGGACTGGCCCTGCCTTCGCCTTCCCTCCCAGGGGCTGGCTGCCCCCTCTCTCTGCCTGTCTACCCCTGTCCCCAGACCTGCAGCCCCTCCTGCCTGCCCCTGACGCCACCCCCACCGTGGAGAGAACGCAGGTCACATGGCACCCCCACTGGGTCCCCAGACAGGTTTCCAGGAGAACGGGCTCCATGCAGGGGCCTTCTTGGGTAGAGGGCTCAGCCCAGTGAGCCTGGGTCTCCATCGCTCACCTCGGACCCCATCACACGGGAGTCTGGGTGCACAACTCCCTGGCGTGAAGACCCTCCTCTCAGCCGCACCCTCCACCTCTAACAGGGGAATCAGCTCAGGGGGACCCCACCCACCACAGTGCATCCCCCTCCCCCCCCGGGATTTTCCCCAAGAAGAGGGAATGGGCGGAGAATGGGGTAGGGTCACCACAGGCCCCACTCAGGCTCAGGCCCAGGGAGCCCAGAGGAGCCCTCTGAGCAGGGACCTGGCTGTGCAAACCGCACCCCAAACGGACCCTGGGCCAAGCGTGTGCTGCAACCAGGGGGCTGTCCCAGGACAACCACCAGGAGCTACTATAGGAAAGCCCCTCTTGCCTCCAGCCAGCTCCTCCAAGAAAGGGAACTGGGGCAGGGGCTGGGGCAGGGACTGGGGCAGG